TTTTTTTTTTTTTAATATAAACTGAAGTTTCTAGCTCTGATAGCTAAAACAACCTTTCGAGTAAGAACTGATAAAGCACAGTCCCCTAGATGTGCATCCACCTTAACGCTAAATCCAAAACGGTACTTAGGCACACAAACTCATCTGGAAGTCAGTTAATTAATTCTGGCACCTACTTTTTGGGATCTAACTTTTAGTACCTCTACTTCTCAACATTACCTCAAGGAACAGAATTAAGAGTCAGTAAGTTTCTATCTATAGGGCTCTTAATAACAGATGTAAAATTGAGAACATTAGACATATTTTCAGTGCCTGAGTTATTGGTCTCTCATTAAACCACTACCCAGACTTAACTAAAGGGGGGCACTCATCTTTGTACACACCTAATTAAATTTAGGAGCTTTCCCCTTTGTGCTTGAAGGTAAGAAGTCATATATACAGTAACCACTCATAATAAATATTGCAGATGAAGTCAAGTCAGATATTATGCACAAGAAGCACAAATAAATCCCCTCCTAGTTTAATTCTGAGATATTTTCCATGTAAGGGGGTGGATGTGATATGCATTTTGAATGGTAACAAAATAAAAGTAGGTAGCCTCATAAAATGCAGAGCCAGGACAGAGGAAAAATAGTGAATACTAGGGGGTACACTGATAGAGATTTTTTTGGCTGATAATGATGGCTGATTTTTAAGGAACTATATCAACCAATACCAATCTTATTCTGATATGCAGCCAGGCAGCTTGGAGACTGCTCCCCTACCCCCACAAAGAACGGCTCACGGCTCCGTCCCGCACCCACCCTGGCTGAGCAGCACCTGCCCCACCCCCACTCCCTCCCCCCAGAGGCTTCTGCCCCACCCCCTCCCCTTCCCTGACATCATACTTATACCTGCTGGTCTCCAAGATGCCTGGCTATGCTCCTGGCCCTGTGCATGTTGCAGCAGTGCACGTGCACAGGGCATTCATCTGCCACATTCATCGGTCACATCAGGCAAAAAAAAGAACCAATTGCTAATACTTTCAATTTTCCCTATATTGCTACTGATCTGATATGGGATCAATGTATTGGTTTACCTCCAGTGAATATGCATTATC